AAATTCAGGGACCCGGAGTTTAATCGTTGCACTTCCCTTGCCGTCTTCCCGTGAATTTCTTATGTGGCAGGTTTAATGACGTGACGGGTCGGGTTTTAAGTTTTTTCGGGTTTAAAATTGCGTGACTGGATATTTCTGTTAGCCACGTCAGCGAAAACTGACGCCGTTAATGGAGAATAACGGAAGTTAACGGTGAGTGACCAAACTTGGACGTTTTAAGTAATCTCAGTGACCACTAATGGAATTAAATATTTGCAGTGACCAAACATGAACTTTTTTAGTAATCTTAGTGACCAATCTTGCAATTAACCCATATTGTGTTTTGAAGGGGGAAGGCAGCGACAGCGCCCGAGACTCAGAATATTGAGTTTTGAAGGGAGGAAAGCAGCGACGGCGCCCGAGTCTGAGGCTTTTGCGCTATTTGAAATTTTTTAAATAGCGCCAAAGCCTGAGACTCAGGCGCCGTTGCTAGCTTCCTTTTCTTTCTTATCCCCTTCCTCGCCCCACTCCCTCTCGCCAGAACCACACACCCCCTGACCCCCCTCCCTCCCTCCTCCCTCACCTCCTCCAACCCAGCGCCGATGCAGAAGGAAAGAGCGGCGACGCCGTGAAGAAGAGGGCACCGCCTCAGTCTCAGGCGGCCGCGCTCAAAGCCCGACGAAGGCGCCAAACCCAAAGCGCCGTCGCAGATCCACTTCTCCCCGCCATGTCCGACGACGACGAGCAGCAGGCGCCCGACAGAGGACGAGGCAGAGGGCGTCGCGGTGGCGGCTGCCTGGCAGCAAACGCTACAGGAGTAAGTGTGTGTGGCGGTGGCCGGATTCTCGCCGCCGCCGGCAAATTTTTTTTTGTTCTAATTTTTTTTCCAGTTCCTAGGCTTATGGATCCTTGTTTGATGAGACCACCACCAGCGACAATCGATACAGCTCCGGTGGATCCGGAACTTCTTTGGGGGCATGGTCACCATCGTATTGACGCAGTTTGGGTAAACGAGGTAAGTTTTCAAACTATTTCTCTAGTTTTTTATTAGCTGAATAATATAATAGAATTAAATTAAATTAAATTACGAATAAAATTAGATTAAATTACTAGTATTAGAATAAGTTTAGTTCACCCTGGATGGAATAGTCATCTGAAAACTTACACCACCAACAAAATGGACATCCAAATTGTCCTCTACTTTCTCTTATTTCCACCGAACAGCTAGTTCAAATCTTCTAAAACCACTACATAAAAAACAAACTCACTAATTACTAACTGGAATAAATCATTATGATGAATACATTAAAAAATTAAATACGTCTCTTACCTATTATTAGCCATCTTCCCAGCAATCAGACAACAACACCAGAGCTTCTTTCGGAACTTCTTTCAGTTTTTTGGTGGTGAAGAACCGAAGGAAAGGTGCAGTATATGGTGATGGGTGGTGCTGGAGTGGAAGAAAAAGGCAGCGACAAAGCCCCAGTCTGGGGCGCCGCCGCTTTTACTTATTTTTAAGCGACAAAGCCTCAGTCGGGGCGCCGCCGCTTTCACTATTTTTAAAGGCCAAAAGCCCCAGTCTCGGGCGCCGTCGCTGGATTTTCTTGAAAAAACAGCACCTAGCGGCCGTGCCTGAGTCTAAGGCTTTAGCGCTTTAAACATACCAAAAAACACAATATTCTTGTAAATAGTTTTTAAACCACTATATCGTGGTAAATTAAAAAAAACAATATTTAGGGAATTAACCCGTTAGTTTGTTTCTCACTTGCATGTTTGTTTATTTATTTCATGTCTGGAGAAGGGGTCTCAGTCACTCTAAGTATCTTACTCACGGGTGTAAGAGTGACTGTAAAAACTCACTGACTCGTTCCAATCGGTTAGATAACAACAACCCCTTAAACCGATCGGCTAGATAACAACAATGTGGGAAGTAGGCTAGGGTACGAGGACCCGAATGAATACGACCTTGATTGTCACTATATGACAACGCCGTTATAGGTTAAACTTGACCTAGAATGGTGTAGTTATTGATACGTGCAAACTACTGACAATGACCTGCCCGAAATGAATCGATCAACCGTAAAACCTAAAACTAACCTTAACCGTCAACCATCCATAATGCTAAAGCACAATATTAACCCTGAAACTAACCTTAACCCTTTACTATAACCCTAACACCTAACTCTAAATGATGACCCTATACCTTATACCCTATACACTAACCTGAAACCTTGAGCTATAGTTATATGTTATGAAATTATTGGTATAACGTATGTTATGTGAAGAATGTAGGTTAAGTCAATTTTATATTTGGTTATTGTGAAGAACATACTTTCGAATCCTCCTAACTCTAAACCATAACCCTATCACTAACCTTAAACCATGAGCTCTAGTTACATGTCATGAAATTGTTGGGAGAAAGTAGGTTATGTGAAGATCGTAGGTTATGTCAATTTTAGATTTATATTATTGTGAAGAGATATAAGTCATAATCTTTAAGATATAAGATTCCTAACCCGAAATCATTTTAGATTTTGATTTAAGTGTCTCAATGATTTATTATTTATATATACAATGTTGTAAGTTGTAACAAAGTTTAATTTAAGTCAAGCATAAGTTTTGTTTTTCAGGAAATAAATTTTAAGAATGGTCTTCCTACGTTGTGAACCATTAATTACAAGTTAACTTTTCATTTTTAAATTCAGTTTATAAAATGGAAAAAAATGGTTTTAGAGGGCCATCGTCCATCGAGAACTCTATCCCAAATCTTTAGGTAAGTTGATCCAATAAAGAGTTATATGTTGTTCTTCCAGTAACTGTAATCGACTCCCTCAAACCTTGGTGGGTGATTTGAGAGAACCCATCAGCGAGGTACAATACAGCTCCGCTTCCAGACCCCAACGCCATTTCTTCGACTCCAGAGATTGTAGGATCTTTTTCGACAAAACCAGACTATGATACCAACTGTAGAGCGTCAAGCGCAAAACAAATTCCTTGATTTCTCTTTGATTTATGCGATCTCAGATCGACTCAGTACCAGCAATTAAACCCAGCCAAAACCTTCTGGCAAGAACAAGTGAGAGGATTCAATAAGATGAAGTTTGGATCGAAAAGAGGTTACCTTCCTGTGCTCACATATGTTTGTCGAATGAGAAGTATTAGTAGGCTTATGTCTTACTTAAGCCCAAAGGTTAAGTGTTTAGGTCCAACCGATTGAAAACAAGAGAAGCCCAACAACTTTTCAACGTCTAAGACTTACACAACTAGGGATGGCAAGATAACCCTATCTAGAGGTGGCAAATGGATTGGATCTCTGGATTGGTGGATTCATGGATCAAATGGTTTGGATTCAATGGATTGGTGGATTGTCCATGAATCCAAATGGCATCCTTAACCAAGGACCAATATGTAAAATGTGAAAAGTTTATGTACTAAAATGTCGTAATGAAAAATTTTAGGTACCAAAACGTAATTTTCAAATGATATTTTTTCGCATAAAAATTAAATTTTAGGTACCAAAATATAAAATATGAAAATTATAGATACCAAATCGTAATTTGCCAGTTGGATCTATGGATTGATCTATGAATCCACCAATCCAATTGGATTTAAATGGATTGGATTAGGTGGATATTTTTAATGGATTGGTGGATTGGATTGAGAATTGCCACCTCTACTATCCACGGATACCCGACCCAACCCAACCCGGTCAAAGCAAATAAAACTCGCATTGACGGATTACGGGCCGAATTTGGGTTTAAACCTGTTCTACGATTTTGTGGGTTGGGTTCGAGTTTAGCCATATCCAACCCGTTCCAGCCCAAACCTGTACCCAACCTCAACTAATTTGTTGTTCTTACTAATTGTGTAGAATGAAGTTGATATGATGGAGTGGAGAGTGAAGCTAAGATCACAGTTTTCAAGTTCTCGAGGAATAAGCGTTCTATTAATCGTGTTTTGAGGATGTTTATCTTTAATGTTGAACAATTTGTATGGATAATTTGTGGTTTGCTTGTATATACTATATTGGTGTTTTTTTGTATGGATAATTGTATGGACAAATGGGTGTTAGAATTTCAATTTCATAGGAAATTGTTATGAATTTTTTTCCATAAAACCCATGGGCATCCATGAACTGGCGGATAAGTGGGTTGGGTTGGGTTTGAGTTTTCCAAATCCAATGAATGTTACTCTGTTTTTGTTTTTTTTTTTTGTTTTGTATGAATATACCCATAAGTTTGGGTTTGGAAAAACTCAACCCGGACCATTGCTAGCAGTATCCACATATGAGCCAAAACTCAGCGTTTTAAATATCTTTCACCAGCCCTTCTTTTTCGAACAAACACTTTGTTCTTGCAGTTAGAACCCAAAAAAAACAGAGCATACCAAGAACTTCCACAGCCAAATAATCACAGCTAAGAAATAAAAAGAGAATGAACCAAGACATGAAATTTTTACGTTATAGAACTTCTGTAGTTTCAAAAACCTAAACCCAGAATTCTCCCCGAGTTGTGTGCTGAGATTTCACTCAAACCCCTTGCTAACACAGTTTAGCCTTTTGATTCGATTGCTATGAAAAGTCTGCCTTCTACTCTAATTCTCACACCTTTATATACTTCCAATTCCTCCCGGAGCCGTTAGATTTGAGTCCTTTTTGTTCCAATTTGAAATTGTCACCTTCCATACATGGAGCGAGCCATTTGTGGCCAATTACTTCTTCAATCTTTCTAGCTGATGCTATCCGCTGATTTTGCTATGGAGCGAGCCATTTGTGGCCAATTTCTTCTTCAATCTTTCTAGCCGATGCTATCCGCAGATTTTGCTGGAGTCATTGCAATGCTGCTCCCAACACTTTGTGGTGAAGTCTCAATGCTGGTGAGGCGGGTTCTGGTTCTGGTTAGGGATGTGGCGCACAACTTGGAGCACTTTTTGTTACACACTTTTTCTTTTTCTTTGGTTGCTTTTACGCCTCCGCATTCTACCAGGCTGTCCATCATAAAGCAAAAAAAGGCACTCGTACCGTGGATGATTACTGTCCTCTTTATGTATATGTATTTGAATTTCTGCCCAAGTAAAAAAAAATAGCCCCTCCATCTTGCTCACATGAACTGAAAACTTTAACACAAATCTTGATGCATAGAACACCGTAATCACTCATCACAATATAATGTCCAATCAATCTATTACGAACTAATAAACTTTTGCAATGTCTGAATAGAGAGCATCATCTGACACTCAAGGCCATGCGCCTTAATGTAGAAACAACCCGTTTTACTCAGGCTAATCATCATCAAAGGCATAACAATAGGACCAATCTGTCACAATCTCGCCTACAGTTCTCCACTTAAGCAATCACAATACATCCTGCTTTCTTCAGTAGAAGCAAACCTTCTACATCTTGGATGGCTCGCTCTTATCCTCTTGGGCGCCGATCTCTTGCAAGTAATGCTCTGCTTCCAGTGCTGCCATGCACCCTGCAAAGGCACAAACATGGAGTACTCCCAATTAAGTTCTGGTATTTTTTTTAAGAAAGAAACGAAACATGGGCGAGGCAATTGTTCTTTCACATGCAAATAACCGTCTTATCTGCTAGTTAACCCTTCATATAAGAAATAAGGCAGGCTACATTTCCTAGAAGGCACAACTAAAATCATGGAGGCCTTTCAGCCAAGCTGCATTTAAAATCCCAAGAACAGTCCAAGAGCAGCATAGTAACAAACATATACATACACCTTGCAACCAGAGAAGTCTAATTCAAAGTGTATGCAGATGAGTCATTGATTACAAACCATTGTTGTAAACGACCTTAACGAGATGCTTGGAAGTTGGAATGCAGTATGGGTACAGTTGCAGACAAGTTTACTCATTTGCAACAGTTTCCAGTCCTCTCGCCATCATTAAGTTACTCCAAAATGCTTAACAATACCACGAATATTAGAAGGAAATAGAGACTGAACTAATATGCTACCCTGAAGATGTTCAACAAACTCTGATCTGTTAGATGCTCCGAATTAGACTTGCTATCTTTCTTTGAATTGTCTACTTGGTCAAAACAATAGCTCAGTGCCTCGATATGAAAGAGAGCATATTTACTTATTTATACCGTGAAGAATTAGAAACTACGGTGAATTGTCAGCTACCTAGAGCAGACCTAGTTTATTTCTCATCCTCTAGAACATGAAGCCGAAGGAACGACAGGGGGGAAATGAATTGTAAAAGGGAAACGTCATAAATGGAGGAAAAAAATTTGTGAAGCTTTAGCAAAGATCAAACATTAGCAGCAGGCAGTATCCAGTAGAAATTCAGACAATTTAAGACAACTTGTATAAGGATCATTGTTAAGAGCTAGAACTGCAAATAAAAAGATACAAAGCAAGAGAACGAACCAGTGCCAGCTGCTGTTATAGCCTGCCTATACTTCTTGTCCTGAACATCACCAGCAGCAAATACCCCACGAACGCTGGTCTGCGTAGTTCCGGGCTTGGTCAAAACGTAGCCATCGGAGTCGAGCTCCAGCTGCCCATCCAAGAACTTGGTAGCTGGTTCATGCCCAATGGCGAAGAACAACCCAGAAACTTTCAAATCAGAGACTTCATCGGTCACCATGTTCTTCACCTTCAACCCAGTAAGCGACCTTTCTCCATAAGCCTCCTCCGCCACCGAATTCCACAGCACTTCAATCTTAGGGTTTGTCAAAGCCCTGTTCTGCATAATCTTGGATGCCCTGAAAGTATCCCTCCTGTGAATGATGTAAACTTTGCTCCCGTACTTGGTCAAGAAATTCGCCTCTTCCATCGCCGAATCCCCACCTCCGATCACCGCGAGCGGCTTGTTCCTGAAAATGGGTGCGGCGCCGTCGCACACCGCGCACGCGGAGATCCCCCGGTTCCAGAAAGTGTCCGACCCAGAGAAATGGAGGCGTTTGGCTACCGCTCCAGTGGCGACCACGACGGTATCAGCGACGACGGTCTTCGAATCGGTAGCGATCTTGAAAGGAGTGGAAGAGAAATCGACCTTGTTTACTGTCTCGGTGAAGACTTGGGTACCAAATCGGAGGGACTGGCTACGGCAGCGGTCCATGAGCTCTCCGCCCATGATCCCTTCGGGGAATCCGGGAAAGTTCTCGACGTCGGTGGTGGTTGTGAGCTGGCCGCCGGGGGCGATGTCGTTGGCCATCCAGCCCTCGAAGAGTATGGGCTTGAGCTCGGCTCTGGCGGCGTAGATGGCGGCGGTATGGGCAGCGGGGCCGCTCCCGATGATGCAGACGCGGGTCCTGAGCTCCTCCATGGATGCGCCGGCGACTGAGGTGGAGAAAGAAGCGGAAGCGGCGGCGGTTGAGGCGGTGGCGAGGCCGATGTAGCTGCGGGCTTTGGAGAGGAGAGTTCTGAATTTGCCGGGAGTTCGACTCATTGCCTGCGCGCTAGCGGAAAGGAAAGTAAGACACGGGAAGTGGGAGGGCGTGGAGGATTTCTTTAGCTTTGGGCTTGAGGGGAAAGAAGATGAAATATAATCAGAGGATGGGCTGTTGTGCATTATGGGCCGATGTTGGGTTACTTGCGGAGAAACATGATTTGATATTTGGGTCCACACTTTTTTTCTGAGTGTTTGGATGAAGATTTTCGAGAGGAGTGCGCATGTGGGTGAGTAATCATGGTTTGATACTGATCTACTCGTAAATAACAAAAATTGCAGTGGATGGATGTTAAATGTTAATGGATTGTGAATCGAGGACCTCCTACTCGCACTTATCGGGTGGGGGATGTGTGTGTTGCAAGTCACCGAATAACACACACCCTATCTTTACATGGAAAATAGACATAGTGATATCTTTAAAGGAGGGATTGTGTCATTGTATTTTTGGGCTTTTACTATTGATGTGTATGTTGTGCAATTCCCACTAGATAGTAAGATACAAATTATAAACTATTAATTGTATCAAGTTAAGTCACAATAAAAAAAATGTGAACTTTGTATACATAATTGGTTGATGAAGTAATAGGAGACAAATTGAGAGGTGTTTAAATTGATGCAGTCTTACTAATTTGTGCGGAATTTAATATAAATGCTAGTAAACTTGCCTAATTACTTGTTGGAGAATTGCAGTTGCGGATCAACTCACAACCCAACCACACTCACCCACCCGCCTCCCAACATAACATGAATAAGTTTGTGGGTGGATTGCGGATCACAATTAACACAATTCTTTAGTAAGCGAGTGGTTTACTTTCAGACCACCCATTGCCCACCCCCTAGTTTTGGGTGATGGGTTTCACCCAAATCTTAGGTTCTCTCGGATTTTGATAAATAATTCATTAAGAAAGCTGAAAGATCTCGACATTAGAGGTTTTAGAACTCTCAATCATGGATTTTTGAAATAGTTGATGTCCATAACTATTTTAAAATCACTCATTATTATTTTCCATTTTCCAAATGTTACCCCTCCATTCTTCCTTCTTCCCTGCAGCCGCAGGTTCCCCGCTGACGCCATTCAACATTTATTTAACGTTGGTCAATGTCATCATTCGTCTCAGATGTTCCATCATCGCCTCCTCATGTTTCAGTCGTTATCCATCCAACCGTCGTCTCCTCATCTTCCAGTAGTCGAGCTAGAAAACCCATTGATATAGACATGCATGGGTTTATAGGTTGAGGCAGAAGAACCATAAGTATAATTATTTGTTAGGAATATACTATAATTAATAAATTTTTATAATAATATGTAGAGTTAATAGCATTTTATTCTCATGTACTATTACAAATTAACAAACCTATCCTTGTATTATTTTTTTGCACAAATATAACCTTGTACTATTAACATATAATAAACTTACCCTTCTGTCAAGTTTTCTGTCAACCGACCATTAAGTCTAAGAAGGAGGGAAAATGTTTAATACACCCATCCCTTGTTAATTACTAACTTTAATTTAATTTTCTTTTATTGCTTCTCTCTCTTCTGTTTTTCCTATACGACTTGCTTCTCACAGATGCAACCCCTTCTTGAAGATGTGAACTTGCTCCTTAAGTTTTTCCTTGTTGTTAGTAGTGGAACGTCGTTCTCCACTCTATGCTCCTTATTCAAGTCTTTATGTTACCTCATCTTTCGCTGCACCACTCTGTTACAATCTACTATAAATCTCTTGACTTAATAATAAAAACACAAGTCTTGAGTGTTTATGATATTAGAGCCTCCAACACTCTAACGAGTCAATTATCCCTTCTTTCTCTTCCAATTCTCATCTCTTTATTCCCTTCTCCTTCAAATAAAAAATGGCTACTGAGTCATCCTCTATTTCTTCTACATCCGCCTCTGCTGGTTATGCCTCTATGTCGGTGTCTTCTATGTCTTTTCTGGCCAATCCACAATTGATCGTCAAACTCACACCGATGAATTATCTGTTGTGGCACGCCCAGATCATCCTCTTCTTCGCTGTCATTGCTTAATGGGCCACGTAGACGGTTCCCTCTCTACTCCACCGCAACTCGTCGATGGTAAACCCAATCCGCCCTACTGGACCTAGTATGATCGTGATCAATACGTGCTTACTTGGATTAACATCTCTCTTTCTAAAGCAGTACTGTGGAATGTCATCAACAAAGCTACGACATTTGATGCGTGGTCGGCGTTGGCTACCAACTATGCATGCGTCTCCAAAATTCAGATTCGACAGCTCACCAAGACTCTTCAAAACATCCATCGCGGTGACGCCACAATCCATGATTATCTCCAGACTGCCAAAGCCAAGGATGATCAATTGGCGATGCTGGGCTCTCCCGTCTCCAAAGATGATCTTACCGATTGGATTCTCGATGGCTTGGGTGAAGATTATCTTCCGTTTGTGCGCCATATCGAGGCGCGTATGGCACCGTTTAGATTTGAAGATCTTCACTCTCTTTTCCTCAGCGAAGAACTCCAGTTCCAGCGCTATTCCTCCCGTTCGGATTCTCCGGCGCCGACCGCCTTCTTCTCCATCACCGGTGACTATTGCGGAAGAGGAGGCCCAGGTCGAGGACGAGGCTCCTCCCGCTGCAGTTATTACCCTAACACAACCTTTTCTCATTTTTTGGCAGGTCGAGCCCGACAAGTAGCATTTTTGGGCCCCGGGCCACTGGTCTAGTAGTGGTGTGTCATAACTGTGGAAGTCGAAGCCGCGGCCACAGTAAACCAAATTTTCCAAGCCCAGCTATGAACACACACAACAACTCGACCCATCCAGCCCAGTCTGTCGCCCCTATTCCTTCCTACTCCTCACTTCCCTCCCCTGCTGGCCCACACACCATATTTTCTTCATCACCTGCCCAAGCTTTCAACCAAAAACAATAGCCACTCGATTATGGCACCAACCATCACCTCACCTCGGATTTAGACAAACTCGCCCATCATTCTGAGTATAATGGGACTGATCACGTCACTTTTGACAATGGTAACTCTCTTGCATTCTCTCGTTATGGTTCATTCACCACTTCTAAATCCAATACTTTGATTTCCTTGGATAACATTCTGCATGTGCATCATGCTCCTTACAATCTCTTATCTATAAGATCTCTCACTCGTTCTAATCCTATCTCCGTCGAATTTTTTGTCTCTCTTTTCACATCAAGGACAGACGCACAGGGCGTGAACTTTATCAAGTCTATGCGGTGGATGGCCTTTACTCCCTTCCACTTCATATCTCTCGCCATCTCTCCCCCAACACGTGTGTGGCTTCCTTTGACATTTGGCATCGTCGTCTTAGGCACGCTCATGAAAGGGCGGTCAAGCAGGCTCTTTATCAGAATCAAATAAAATGGTATTGCTCATCGATTTTTGTGTCCCTATACTCCTGAACAAAATGGGTGTTTTGAATGTAAACATCGACATATCGTCAATAATGGACTTGCTCTCCTTCATCGCTCCAATGTTCCCCTAAAATACTAGCCTCTTGCGTTTGATACCGCTTGATATCTCATTAATCGCACACCTACTCCGCTTCTTAATCATGATTCTCCCTTTCATTTTATCTTTCAACGTTCACTTGATATCTCTAATCTCCGTGTTTTTTGTTGTCGTTGTCATCAATGGCTTTGCACTCTTGCCCCAAACAAATTAGCTCCTCTTTATGTTCCCTGCATTTTCCTTGGCTACATCAAACTTCACAAGGGTTACCATTGCCTTCAAATTCCCACTGGCCGAATCTATGTTAGCCGTCATGTTTTGTTTGATGAAACTCCTTTTCCCTTTGCCGAGTTAAACATCACTCAGCCCTCCTCTCCTCCAGTTACTTCTTCTCCCATACTGCTTCCGCCACCCCCTTCCTTACCTTCTGAACACATTCCCTCTCTTCGGCCCACTACTTCCCCTCAGCCATACCCACCAACCTCTCTAGTTCATCAACCCAAACAACTTCCTCCTCTCCCCACACCTCCCATTCCTCCTCCCCTATCGCTACCCAACCTACCACATAGGCCAACCTGTTTCTCAGTCTCGGCCCAGCCCACCACCTAAAAATCCATCCCCTACCCCGGCTACTTCCTCCACCCATTCTCCCACCCCCTGCCTCCTCGTCGGCCAATCCTCTATCGCCCTCCCTTAAACACTTCCTTTAGACCGCTCGCCGTCGCCAATCCCACCGCTCCGCCCATCCTATGGTCACCCGCATCAAAACCATTAACCTCAAACCCAAAACCTTTCTCTCTCATCTCCTTATTGATGACACCCCCACTATTGTGTCACAAGCTCTCAAACTTCCCCACTAGCACTCGGGCATGTCCGATGAGGTTACTGCTCAGCTTAGCAATCACACATGAAACTTGGTTCCCCGGCCCCCAAATGCAATGTTCTCTCCAACAAGTGAGTCTATCGCACTAAGCTTCATCCAGATGGTACGCTGGATCGACATCGAGCTTGCCTAGTTGCTTGTGGTTCTGAACAAATCCCGGGTATGGATTTTCATCATACGTACAGTCCGGTTCTCAAAATAGCTACGATTTGTCTCATTTATTGTCTTGCAGTGACCCAGGGTTGGCCACTACATTAGATTGATATTGCTAATTTTTTTCTCCATTGTGAGTTGTAGGAACCAATTTATATGCAGTAGCTCCCTGGTTTCATTGATCCTGACAAACCAGATCATGTTTCTCGACTTTGGAAGTCTATATACGGTCTTTGACATGCTCTTTGCACTTGGTTCCATTGCCTTGCTGCTGCTCTCATTCGTTTCGGCTTCTCTGTTTCTCGCACTGATCCGTCTTTGTTCATCTACAAGATAGGTTCCACTCGACTATATATGTTGGTCTATGTTGATGACATAGTCATCACGAGTACTAATACTAATCTCATTCAAAAGTTGTTCACCTTCCTTCACTGGCATTATCCTTAGTTAGCGCAAGTTCATTCTGGACTTGCTTAAGCGTGCTCACATGTCCAACGCCAATGCCATCTCCACTCCCTCAACCGGTGACATCATCCAGCAATCAGCCATGGATTCCTCCCCACATTCCCGGACCCAGCAATGTATCACAGTCTCATTGGTGGATTTCAATATCCCAGCTTCACTCGTCCAGACATTTTCTTCGCTGTCAACCATGTATCTCAATTTCACCATTCTCCCACCGAAAACCATTGGGCAGTTGTGAAGCGAATTCTCTGCTACCTCAAAGGCCCCCCTTGAACGTGGACTGATTTTTTACCAGATCTCCCTCTCTCCATGTACCTGGTTATTCAGATGCTTCTTGGGCTTCATGTCCCAAGGACTGCAAGTCCATCACGGGGTTTGCGATTTTCTGTGGTTCAAATTTGGTGTCCTGATCCACTCGCAAAAACAATCAGTAGCTCGCTCCTCCACCGAGTGCAAATATTGCGCACTCGCCACACTTGCTTCTAAGGTTCTCTGGTTATAGTCTTTTCTCCATGAATTGGGGAAATCGATTCCTGTTGCTCCGACTCTGTGGTGTGACAATCTTGGTGTGACCTTTCTTGCTCATAATCCCATGTTTCAAAATCGGTCAAAGCATATGGAAATAGAGTTTCACTTTGTTCGTGATCAAGTTAGCAAAGGCCAGCTCCGCGTCCACTACTTACTGGCTCCTGATCAGCTAGCTGATGTGCTCACAAAATTTCTATCCCGACAGTCCTTCAAAAAATTCTGCTCCAAGTTTCGACTCTTTGAGCCTCAACTTGCAGGGGGCGTGAAGATGTGAACTTGCTCCTTAAGTTTCTCCTTGTTGTTAGTTGTTAGTAGTGGAACGTTGTTCTCCACTCTCTGCTTCTTATTCCACTCTTTCTGTTTCCTCATCTTTCGGTGCACCACTCTGTTACAATATACTATAAATCTCTTGATTTAATAATAGAAACACAAGTCTTGAGTGTTTACTTCTCTACCCCTTGCCCTTCCCCGTCCATATTCCAACCAATTACCCTTGCCGTAAAAATTGAAACCACTCTCAATCTTGGCCGTCATTGACATATTCCTTTTCCTCCCACAATGTGTCTATGGTCATATCCAAATCCACAACCTTCGCCGCTCTTCTTTGCAATTTGTAGAATCTCAACCTACGATCGTTATAGAGCCTCGTGATCGTTTAAGGAGCTCTCCTCCTCCTGCATTGCGGTTTGGGAAGAGCCTCTCTCTGGTGACGGCTACGCGAGATTTGATGGCCAGTTTGAGTTGAGACAATGGAGGACCGTAGGGAGATTTTGATTTGCCATACCAATTTTTCGATCGTGGATTTTGCGTCATGGCTTTCCCATTGTTTCATATCCGAATTGAGGTTTGAGGTTTAAACTAGCTGAGTCGTTAAAAATCCGCCAATGGATCTTATGATTTGAGAATTGATTTTTATGGTATCTGGAAATTGATTAGTGAGTTATTTAAGGATTTCGTTAGGTTTGATTTTTCGAAAAGTTGAAGTTTATTTGGGCATTTAGGTTGTTGTTTTAGATTTTGGATTGATTTTGGGAGATTGGGGGATCGACAAAGTTTTTGGGGAATTGATGGTGGCGGTGGTGGTGGTCGGTGGGAGCTGTTGTCTTCTACAGTTCTACATCACGAGGGGAAGCAAAATAAGAAGAAAATACAATAAATTTCTTGTTTCCATCTGGAATATATATTATAAAATAAATAAGGCTAAACTAGTAATTCTTCATCCCATTTAATGGATATCTAAAGGAATTTTTATAGGACACATTTGTTACATGTTCATAATCGAAGGGTATGTTTGTAAAAAAAATTAAATAGGAGTAAGTTAATTTACAATTATAGAGGAGCATAAAATGCTAATATCCCTAATGTTATAGTATTTTACACTAGTTTGTAGATTTTATAACAGCTAATCTGTCAACCAATAAATAAAATACTTTCTCATTTTTATATGCGATTCTGTTCTCACAACAAAGATTTTAGTTTTAAGTTTACAAGATTATGCATTGTAACAATTAACCGTTGAGTAATAGCACCGGTATGCAATAATCCTACTTAGCACAAAATGTGTAAAAAGATTGAAATATGGTAGCGGAGGTCGTAGCGGAAAAGTCAGTGTTTGGGTATTTTGTGCTAAAATTGTGTTTAATCGGATTCAACCGATTCATACCACTTATCGTTTTAACCTCTAATAAAAGATTTTTCTGGTCGAATCGTTGATACGGTATGGTATTTCAATTCTTGATAAAAAGCCTAAGTTTTTTTATTTTAGAATTGGGATGAGAATATTTAAGGCTATGGATAACGAGAGGTCACTACCAATGCTCGAACCAGGGCGAAACCGCTAGTGCCATTGGCTGTGTCTTAAGGCCAAACACCAATTGAGCATTGGTGGCTATGGATATTTAGGGGATGCAATGGTATGGGTGGAAATTTATACGAAACCGGTAGATATTATTCATCGAAATTTCTAATATTAAAGTAGATATTATTCATCGAAATCTCTAATATTAAATAGTACGCTAAAATCTATCTCAATCTCAAAATAAATTGCATATTTCAATTTCAATCTTAAAATATTTCTTTATTGTATAGATATTAATATCAATTTTTTTTTATGAATGGAATATATAGATAAATAATGGTTTGAACATCCATGATCCTGGACTTTTTATATGATATAGGCTTGGTAGTGACCTCTCGATATCCATAGCAATAAATATCCTCATCCTAATTATTGAAAATATTGGTGATGGAAAGTTGATGTGGAAAAATGTTATAATAACTATCGAAAGTCCCATTGAATGGATTCAATCAAAGTCTCCATTGAATCTATTCATCAAAGGTATTGGTAGGGAACTAAAAGACTATTCAAAGGGTTTTGAGTTTCCTAGAGTTAAGGTAGGGAAAGGAGAAGGGAGGAGATGGTATTATCTCAATTTTTTGCTCTGGGTAATCTTTCATTCGATGAATTGGAGGTTCAGAGATGACTAGCGAGAGTGTTCACTTTTTGGTGTTCTGAAAATAGAAAGTCAAACAAGGATTGGATGGTGGCTTACTAGTTGTCTTAGTGAGGAAAGACCACATGTTGTGAGCTATATATAATTACTTGTAAATTTTTTAGATTTCGGTATATAACAATTAACAATATCAATTTCATAATTCCAAATTACATTTCAAAGTCCGTATCAATAATCCCAATTTTAAAAACTAAACTAACTCGGTATTCAATAAAATCAAGTAATTATAAATTTGACACGGTATTCGGTATATCCCAAATACTGGTAACAAAGCGACTCACTTTAAAAATGGATATATGAAATGTATGAGAATGGCTCTTAAAATGATGAGTGAGTGCATTATTAAAAATGGCAAACCTAAATTCTGTCGCTGAAATGGGTCTCCGGGTAATTGTCATGGAAGAAATTTATTGCCCCAGCAGGTACGTGCTTGACTCAAGTTATGCTGCTGCTCAACACAAATTAGAGTAGGATTAGATATGGAGTGCTAGGGATCAGAAGAAGGCAAATATTATAATGGACTGGGAAAACCCTCCATTCAATACTTATATAGTAGAGCTTGGTGGAATCCATTTATTGAAAAGTCTCAAAAGCAAAAGGCTTTGCTTTGATGGTTAGATATGGATAAATGCCAACGACACATAGAAGTTACTTAGGTTCCCTTTTATGTACGTTGTTCTTTGCTTTCTAGCGTTGCCATTGAACTTTATGGGTGGTTTGTCAGTTAGGATTTGAAAAATAGATTTTTTTTATTAAATTCGGGTTTTGGAAAAATTCTGAATTTGTCATAGTTTATTTTATTTGTTCATGGATTTTCTTATTATACAATTATAGCTTTTAAATATAAATAAATTACTTTGTTATCCTTATCCAAAAGTATTTGATGTTTAAAGCCATGACGATATCCCATGGCTATAGATGAGATCTACAAATCCGTGATGTCCCCTCAAAATCAATAGATCTCATATATTTGGTGTACTCATAAAAATGAGTACTCTAAAACTAGTTTTAAGACATCAAATTTCAACTTTAATTAGAAAAATTAGTCTAATATGGGCCAAAGTGTTATATCCTGCATTATATTATGCTCTAGGTACTCCTAATCCTAATGAGATATCTCTATCTAGAATATGAATCAAACTGAGTTTAGGATATGATATTATACTCTAATTCTAAACCTAAACCCGAAGATTTTTTAATAAAAAATATTAATTGACGACTCTGATTCAGCGAAGTGCATCAAAGTAGTTTTCCGACCAAATCACTTGGAGTAGTCAGTCATTAACATATATATATATATATACATATATATGGATGGTTCTATCGTACACCAGACAAAAACTGACATATGTCGTACTCCAGACAATCTCCACCGTCCGCGTCCATCTCAACGGCTAGCATAAATGAGGTAATTTATTTTTTAATCCCACAAAAAAAGAACCCCCATTAATGGTGGCCGTTGAGAGGGACGTGATTGGTGGAGATTGCTGGTGTACGACATACTCCAATATATGTTTGGTGTACGATAGAAGTCACCATATATGTATATGCGGTACCCAGGGTGAAATCCGTGGTACCGCATACCTTGAGTAAGAAAACGCTAACTAGAACTTGAATTAACTTATCTTTCAGACAAGATACTATCTCTAACCCTTAAAGATCAAAATCTAGGTCTTTATTCGCTAAATCTTATACCCCAAGATCAATTTAATTAAAAACAATAATCAACGGTTATGATTCATCCAAATATAGGCAAAAAAATCACTACACCATCTTAGGGTTTATAGTTTATAATTTAGATAATTAGGACCTAGGGTTCACTTTTTAAGGGTTAGGGTATAGTATCATGCCCAAAAATCCTACTAATTGGAGGTCTAGATAGCGTTTTCATACTCAAGGTATGCGGTACCCCGGATTTCACCCGGGGTACCGTACAAGGCACCATATATATATGGTGGCTTCTATGGTGCCCACGGTAAAATCTGGGTGTAGAATACCCTAGGCGATCCTCACCATTGATTTCAATCTCGACTGTCTGTGTTTATTTGACTTAAATGATCCCATAAATAATTAAACAAATTACAAAAACCTCCTTAAGCGTTAAAATAGTTTTCACTCGAGTCCAACTAACGTCTAACCTAACTACACCCGGTTTAATAATACGGATTAAGAGTTTAAACCCATTTGGGAAGACCGAATGACCCCTAATCAATTTTCTAGTCATCCTTCCACGAACCGTCGATATTTTTTTGAGGGGACGTCGCTTCCCAGTTTGAAGATAAGTTCCCCAATACCCAATATAGTCATCATTTTGAACCCAAAATCCTTATATCCACATTTGACGTTAGTTTTGAGTTTCCCATGTTTTACGTCTTGTTTGTACTTATCCATTTTATTTCACTCGACAATGTATGTGGCATTTTTTAAATTGAAATGCAAGATATACTCGCCTATCTCTTTCTAACATCCTAGAAACGAAATTTGCTAACCCTAGGGGTCATGTTGCTAGTGCTTTGTCACCTTGTCTTAGGTTTTAGTCATTTAGTTCTAACATGAAGCTTCTTATTCCCACTGAATTTAAAGTTTTCTGATATGTAGATATTGTCTCGGCCAGAGGATTGAGGAAGAAGACGAAGACCACAAAATTTGATTCAAATTTGATGGATAGGTTGGCTGACTTGTGTTTCTGAATAAATGCTGCTTTTAGGATTAAGTTTAGTTGGAATGGATCTTACTTGTTTGTGGGTTTAATTCAGCAATCTGCAGGCTTTTAAATTAACATTCGAAAGTGGACCTGGAACGTTCGAGTTCACTTAGCCAGTCATCTCATCTGTTCTCCCTTAAAGAATCTAGGGCATTGATTCTTCGCAAACCTTAGTTAATTTACCTAGAGTTACCCTAACCTCCACTTACCATGATTAGGAGATCTTTGGTGATCTTTTGACGATCCACTTTCCCTACACTGTCTGTCTCCATCTATCGCCTCTGCACGTCTCCCAGGCCATGATCAGTTTCTATTTACCCACTCACATCTATTTTCTCTCTTCCATCTTCACGCCTTTCCCACTTCGGCCATTCTCCCCTGCTTTCTCTTCCAGTAATGGCAATGGGGAAACTGCTGCTATCAAACTACGATTGCTGCTCGATAGCCAGTCTTGGTGACTACTACTGCTTCACTCACAATATTCACATCATCTCTGAGTTTAAGTTCATCTCTCTGAGTCCTTTCCCTCCCAAAGTCGAGAAATTGATCGCTAATCTTGGCTGGGGAAAAATTCTTCAATCCCAGTTACTGCCCTCTTGTCGTGAGGAAGTTCTATAATAATCTCGAGCTTTCTGGCCCCTCAGACTCTCACCTGGTGTTGATATTCCTCAGACACATAGCCTGTTTTCAGTCTGATGAATTTGCTAAGATCCTGGATCTTCTCGACATAGGAGTGTGGATTACGAGTACAAATGATCTTAAGCTTCACGATTTTGAGTTTGACGTTGAACTAAGGAAGCTCACAAAGGGTGTCATTGATGTTGTTGCACTCCCAGATCCTCTTCGATTCATTCACTAGATGATCATGAACTAATTCCTCTGAAGGTATCATCGTCATTCCATTATTCTTTCTCTTGACTTGTTTGTGTTTGTGTAAGCTCAGAGAGGTGTTCCTGTCAACCTCCCATCTCTCATGTGCCTGACCATGGTCGAAACTGCTCACAAAGGGGAAAACTGGAATATTGTCTTCCCGTACGTCACCTTCTTGACAACCTTTCTTAAAAAGGCTAGGATTGATATGGACGGGTATGCTAAGGAGGAATGTTCTTCTTATTTGTCGGATTTCCACATAGTTGACTTAACAAATACTTTTCGTGAGAATCGACATATTGAGGAGGTCACACCTGAATCCTCCTCCAGCAAACCTCATCAGCATGCAATAGCGACAATTACTAGAAGGGGGGGGGGGGGGGGGGATGGATCATGGGAGCAACAAAGGGGAAATCAGGTCAAGCCCAATGTTGATTGAGGTCAATCGTTAAAGGTTTTAATGTTTAAGTGTTTGTTGGTTTTTGGTTAGGGTTCTCTCTGCTGTTCCCTTATTCTTCAGCACTAAAAACTGTCAGGTACTTAGAGGAGCTAGTTCATCATCTGACTAGGAAAGTTTCCCATTCTTCTTTTGATTAATGTCTAGACCTTGAATTTTCTATTCATGCAAGCACTTTATGAATTTTGCATGCTTACTATCCCCCTAAGAAAGGTGACGGGATACAGGGAAGCCAACCCTGCTGATCAGTGTTGCCGAATTTGGCAAAACTTCTTTTTGGTTGCAGGGAAGGGTAATGGGTATTTGTTAAAGTAATAGGCGATTTATTGATGTGGAGCAAATCAATTTGACTTGTTTGGCTTTAACATACATTTACGCGACTTTGATTAGATGAGGTCAGTTGGGAATGATGTGGAACTAGGGAAGAGGAAGAGACATTGGTTTTAAGTTTTTATTAATTTTTGTTGAATCTTAGTAAATGGTTTTCTCAAACCTTATGCACTTCTCTAATTAGTTTTCCCAAACTGTTTAGCATTTGATTTTAGTTAATATCCACATTTATCTTGTTTCCCTTTTGAATAAATGTATTTATCCCAACTGTTTATGTATTCCAAAATGTGGTATTTATCCCAAACTCTATGCCAATGACTCTCTCTGACGAAATAGAGTGTCCATTTTCAAAATACTTAATGGGACAATTTGTTTTAACTATATGCGTCATTGTAGGAATGACTTTAAAGTATTTCATTTAGCATAGTCCCTTTGAGTTGAGAATGTAACAAAGAGTTGGCATTCCTGAATTAATCTGATTGTTATAGTTAATAAATCTGTGATGCTTAGACACAATATAAAAATTAAAGCATAGTGTTGGTAACTAATGAGGAATATCACTTAATTTAATTAAAGTACCATCAATAAACCTGGTTTGCCTATTTACTGACTAGTGGTAATTACCAGACATGACAATTGGAGTAGAAAAGAAACTTGACATAACCCTGTCTGGCTATTCATTTACTTTCCCAAAGCAAATATGATAATGCTGTCATCAGATAAAATTAAGTAGATATTCCCAAAGCAAACTCCTCATTCATTACTAAAATATTAAATAAAAACATTCAAATGGTTCAAAAAATAAGGTTGAAATAGGGTTCTCAATTGTCTTCAAATTGTTAAAAAAAAGAAAAAACTCCTCAGTCGTTACTAAAACAATCAAGTTCACCTGCTTCATCATAAACTGAACTCAGGTTGTCTTTTTCCAATCTTCTCTTTCCTTTAGGCTCCTTTCATGGGCTTCCTTGTACTCTCGGGTTGCAGCTTCAAATTGAGGTGCACTTCTTCTTGCTTCCGTGAACATCGTGTGCCTTATGTAGTTCATCGACTCTCGAACAAGGTCCAAAGCTATCTGCATCCTTCTCACTTGGGTGCATGGCTATCAACAAAAACAAACATGATACATAACACACAATTGGGGGGGGGGGGGGGGACAAAGCACGGAGTAAAAAAATGGAGTAAAAAATAACCGACTAGCGAATACGAAGCTTG